CCGTGTGCACGACTGCTGCTCCATCCAGCAGCTGGGAAGCATTCGGCACAGTCTGATGCCTGGAGGCTGGATTTAGACAGCTCCAGCCTTGAAATAAGAGCCGCTAACTGCCGGGCTATTTAGATACTGAGAGAGTTCACAGGAGAGGTGATGGACTTAGCCTACCTCAAAGTGAAACTGGAGAGCTTTTCAAAAGGTGCTGAAAGGCAGCTTTTGGGTAAAATACTCCAGCGTGCACATGTGTAAGCAGGCAAAATGAGAGGCAGCTGCAGCTCCTGGGAGCAGGGTACACGAGGAACAGCTTCTCCTCAGGGCCATCAGCTTTCCATCCACGCTGCTCTGCTCTCAGGATCTACCAGCGAGGAAGAGCTCTTCATGGGTCTTTGGTCCTTCCTCTACCAGGCTGTAAATTAGCTTGTCTGCTTCCCATTTCTACACAGATGTAGGGGACAGGGTCGCTTTGGTCTGTTCTACTCCTTCCTTGCCCCAAGCAAGCCTTCAGTCTCTTGAGGAGTGAAACAGTTTGCTGAACTCGGAGGGCTCAAGAAAGAACAAGATGGTACAATGACCGTGGCACACAGGCATGAGTGAGACACACGTCCCCCAGAGATGCCTGGCCCAGATAATGTACTTTCTGCCTCACCAGAATGGTGAAAATCTTTATGTAAGGTGTAAATCCGTGTTCAGTGTGGGTTCATCTCCGTTCTCCTTTCCTCACTTTGTGATCTGAACAGCAACTGATGAAACTTGGAGGTTTTATAACTCAAGCCCTTGCAATAGGTCTTGCAAAATATCCAGAAGAAGGATTAACATGCATGCTAACCCCTGGATAAATTCCCTGTGACAGCTACAAGTTTCACACCACTGCCAAGCTCTTGAGGTCCAAGCTCTAACGGCTGCCTTAGAGAAAAATGGTCCCCTGAACCTTCATGCTGCTAATTTTAGCTCAGATGAGATTTTCATAACTTTTTAAGGGACTCAACCAGAGCAACTGCGTTGACAACAAGAGGGAATTAAGTTCTTACAGCACAGGCAAGATTCGCAGATGCTGGCATGCCAGAGCCATACAAAAAAGCCACAGCAAGGCTGAAGTAGAGCCCCATCTTTTGTTTAATTGGAAATTTCTGCCCATAACCAGCTGCTCCTAATACTGAGACACAATAAAGATAGAAATCCTAAAAAATCCCTTGTATTCAGAAATTCAAAGTGGCATGTTATAACCCCTTTGGATTTCTCCAAACCACAGGCCCAAGGAATTCAAGGCTGCACATTCACATGTATTTACACATGCCTTGCCTAAAAATGTGAAAAACACATCACAAAAGGACTTATTTTCAAGCATCTGCCCTCAAATTTATGTCAGTGCAAGGAGGATCTGCTGTCAGACTGCCAGCCCCAGCAGACAAACTGGCTCCCAAAGATATCTTCCTCTGTCTCTGCAGCCAGGTTCAGCCTGGGATTTTGCTTTGCTGAGGACACACTTCTAAAGGTGGTTGCCCATTTCAAGACTTTGACACATTTCTTTATCCAACCATTGAACTGCAGGTAGAAAAAAGGAGCATTTCACAAAGCCCATGTCCCTGCTTCTGCACAGCCATCTCTGCCATTCCCATCTGCATCCCTATCTTCCAGAAGAGAAGTCCCTCTTCTGCCATAAAACAACTTCTCATTCAATCCAATCCAAGTGCGATTAGACCCCACAGAAGCCTCCAAGCCATCCTCTGTAGCTGATTGCTACTACAAGAAACTCTGTTTCCTTATCACATTGTGATTTATGGAGCTCAGTCCTGGGTTTTTACCTGTCACTTTCCCGGCTGGCAGGTTGTTGCTGAGCCTTACACCTCTGATGGTCTCAAACCTCTTCCAATTTCCTGCCTGAATGCATCTGGAGACAGTTTATGTCTATGTTCTTGGGCTAAAGTTGGAGCTTGGATAACTGCTCTTCCCCCTCTAATGAACAGGGGGAAGAACAATTCTAATGAACACTTTGCTAGGCTGGACAAACTATGCTCTTGTAGGCTCCTCAATGAAGTAACATTTCCAGTGTCCTTCCAATTTATGCCCCTCTTTCTTGAGCAGATATGTCATACATTTTAGTTGGTCTACCAGAAAAATTTTTATCATACCTTATGCACGGGTGCTATCAATTTTTAAATTACTATCCCAATCCCTGTGTTATAAACATATTTAGAAATATATTGCATTTATGACTTTTGAGTAAAGCCCTTTTTAGCCTTATACACTGTAAGACTTTTTAGTCTTACACACTGATGAGCCATAATATAAGGGATAACTTCCAGCTCCACTCCTCATTCACAGATACTGATCTGTGAACACTGGACCAATGCTTTTTTTGTCTTCAGTACTGGCATTGAGTAACCAACATGATTTTCACTATGGCATGTACCACAGACCAGCTGAGGCCTGAGTTAGTGTCCAGGAGTATTATAGGTTTGATTCAATTCCCCTACATATGACAGCAATTTAAGCTTTGGATTGAAGGGATTCTTCAAATACTGAAATGACCTTTGGACACTGCCAAAAAACAATGTCATGTTTGCAGGCCAACTCCTCCCCACTGAAATCCTGTAAATTGCAGTGTTGAGTGAGGCATGAGCGCTGTCTCCCAAGAATAGTGAGGCAGGGAGGCTGTCGTCCAAGTAAAACAAGAAACTTGCATTAGTCTTTCAGGGGAACACTTACCTCCCCAGTTCATATACTGCACTGAGATTTTAATAAAGTAGAATATTGCGGAAAAAGTTGTTTCATTTAATCTGTTTTACATCCAAAAAAATACAACAGTGAAACAGCAGGAGGCACAGAAAAATTCCCTGTCTGTTAATCAGTATTTTCAGCCCAGCCTGACAGCAGTACCCTCAGCCAGGGCAGAGCCCACCAGCTGCTCCATGGCAGGCACCAGCCTTGCAGAGGCTCCACATCACGTGCACACACCTGACTCAGTGACCAAAAGGCCACACAGCTGCCTGCAGACTGGCACGTCCCCAGTGAGTTGCTGCAGAGGCATCTCCCACCCCCATGGGAGGCAAATGGCCCCTCCTGCACTATGGGGCATCCCCAGCCACAGGACAATCATTCTGTGATTCCATGAAATTCAGGGTGCTGCTCTTCACCAGGGACAAAGGCCAGGCCTGCAGTGTGGCTCCTGCACAGCCCAGGGAAGTCACACCTCGTTTTTGTCATCTTAGTGGCTCATCCAACACGTGAGAAGTCATGACAGGGCTGGCAGATGAGCTCTGCTGGGTGGATTTCAGGGCCTGTCTCTGGCTCTGCTTATGGCTCATCTTTATCTCCATGGTGATTAGAGACAGGTCTGAAGTGGCAAATTTGCTGAAAGGCCCAGGGATGCAGACTGAGGAATGTACTGACAAAACAAATGTTTGGACTGAGGAGCACCATGACCTCTGCAAGAAACAGATGCTGGAAGAACCTAAAATTACATTAACCTGAGTAATGCATGAGATGTCAGTAGCTACTGGGAGGGCTAATGGACTTCCATTTCCTCCTGAGCATCCCCAACTCCCTGATGCCACATTTAAAGAGCACCTAAGGGATCAAAGAAGCATACAGGTGTCCTGGAATATGTCACCTCCATGCTGAAAGTGAGTTTCAATCACTGTCCATGCCATGATGTACTCATTAGAGACCATGTCTTCCTGGTCAGGTGCCACCTGTCACAAAATACCTGAATTTCCACCCAAAGCTACAGGAACATGGGCCCAGCTTGTGCTCCAGAAGCTGCTGACATGCCTGGTCAGAAACCAGCAATGAGAGCAGGTGGCACCAGTTTGGGGGTGGCCCTCCAATGGGAGCCCCCAAACCCAACCAGTCCACATTGCCACAGCATGAAGGACCAGCAGAGCCACTTCAGAACCATCTGCGTTTCTCCACACATCACGTCTTGTACCTCCTGTGAGGCAAAAAGGGAGCCTCTGACATAAGGGAGGTGACAGAAAATAAGGCTGCTGCCTGATTTGCACGGTTGGATGGCACCAAATGAAACACATGGTGCTGTGGAGTTTCAAGTGAGCACTGAGCAAGGCTTATAAAGACAAGGAGAAAAAAAAGAAACAAGCTACCAAACAACTGGATTTTCTCTAATCAGACAGATAATATTTACAGCCTACGGGTGGTGCCAAAATATTTCAGGAAATTCCTAAGCCTGTCTGAATAAAAGCACAGGAAAACACAGTACTTAAGGACAGCAACTATGGCAGTAAGAATGAAAGCTTTCCACCCCCTTCCAGCCTCCTTACAGTTTAAAATTATTGCCATATCATATCATACTGCAATTATCAAGGCTAAGCTCATTTTACCATCTCCACTGCAAATGAAGCTCTGACTTGAACATATAAAGGACCAGTGTAAAAATCAAAGGAATCATGTAAACTGGAAGGAGCAGAATCAAGGCACGCTCCACAGAGCACACTGAGGTCTAATCCATCCCACTCAATCCTGCACCAAGAGACTTGAGCTTTATTTAAGCTATTCCTTCCAGCAAGGCATAAACATCATGCTAGGAAAACCCAAACCACAAAGCTTTTGGCCCATTTTTCAGAGTTATCTACCAGCTTTGACTGTCTGCCCTGGACTCACCACAAAGAAGAGCAGTCCAGGAGGGCAGAACACAAGCACTGAGCCCCTGGGAAACACTTGAGTCCCATCACTTCTTTCCCAGTGAAACATTAGATATGTCTTTTCCCTTGCACAACCACAAGAAATCCCATCCTGGAGGTATTTTGTTTCCCCCCTCTCAATTACCAATTACATCCACAGACGCAGAAAACCACAGGTCCTGCAAGGATCACATGTCTGTTTTGTTCCATTTGAGCACTCAGACCCTGCAAAATCTCTCCAGTGCACCCAGAAACAACCACACACACAACAAGTGCTTGCACCCCTAGAAAAAAAATCAGGTAAACTATTTTGAAAGCACATGCAAAACCAATTATTCTCTGGTAGCTGGGTGGTGTCATCATTACCTGCTCAGGCTTCAGGCCAGGGGGCACCCAGGCATACTCCTCCAAAGCACAGCCTGAGTCGTCGTCAGAAGTTGAATTCCTCTGGAAGTCAAACATGAGCTTCGTGACTGTCTTCTCCATCTCCAGAGGCATAACTGTTACAATGTGCTCTTCCTGGGAGCACTTACAGTGAAGGCAAATCTTCCTGTAAGGTGAGCAGAGAGAAAAAGAGATGCCTGGTGAGCAGAGCTTTAAATAATGTGATTCCTGCCAGTCGTTGGCCTGCAGAGACTAAACTCAACCCTTTCTTATCCTCAGGCATTTTCTAACACAGGATTTGTCTCTCTTATGAGGAAATAAAAGTCCATATTTGCTGTAACAACACTTGGCAATCCATCTGAGTCAGACTGCCCAGTGTTTGGGGGTATGAAATTGCTTGTCCCTTTACTGCACCACACAGAGTATTTCCAGGGGCCAGCACAGGCACAGGCCATGCCTGGTGGGGGTCAAATTGCCAGCCAGAACTGTAGTCATTACTGAATTTAGGACAACTGAGCACTTTGCTAAAATGGGAAATGGTGGATTGACTGGGAAGCTGGGAATGACAAGTCTCTTTAGCATGCTGATAGCATAAATTTGCTTATTAAAGTAGCATAAAAATTGATTATAGTCTGAACATATACAGCTAAATTAAATTAAGGGAGGCTACAAAACCCACAGTCACACTGCAATGGAATCTTAACCACCTGGCTCGGTGGCACACGCCACAGCTCAGCAGCACTGGAGGAAAGCACAAGAACTGAAAGAACAGCCCACAGAGGTTGCCATTCAACAGCCATTAGCTTAATTCACTGCAACTATCAGCTGTTCTTTATTCTTCTTTAAAGGGGCTGTTACTGCAGCTTGTGGCCTGTGACAGATTTTCTTCGCAGGCTTGAACCTGAATTTTTACCTGCAGGGCTGCCAGGACAGTACAGACTCATAGAATGGTTTGGGCTGAAAGGAACCTTAAAGGTGATTCAGTTCCAACATCCCCTGCCGTGGGCAGGGACACCTCCCACTAGATCAGGTTGCTCAGGGCTCCATCCAGCCTGTCCTTGAACACTTCAAGGGGGGAAATCTGCAAGCTCTCCAGACAATGTGTGTTAGGGCCTCACCCCTCTCACAGTAAAGAATGCCTTCATAATACCCAATCTAAACCTACTCTGTCTCAGTTTGAATCCATTCCCCCTTGTCCTAACACTATAATTCCCTTGTATAAAGTCCTCCAGCAATCCTGTAGGCTCCTCCAGGTACTGAAAGGCTGATAAGGTCACCACAGAGCCTTCCCTTCTCCAGGCTGAACAATCCCAGTTGTCTCAGCCTTTCCTCACAGGACAGGTGTTTCATCCCTCTAATCATCACACCCCTTCACCACGGTAACAGCGAAGGACAAACCCGGCTGAAAACATCTCCTGACAAAGAAAAAGAGGTTAAAAGGAATGCTGATAAATTGGCTTCTATTTCTGAAAACTCCACGCTTTTCCACAGGCTGGGTCAATGGTATCTATTTTAGAGCAACCACACAGGATTCTGAATTAATTTGCACTAATGAAGCACCACTGACTTCTGAGGAATGAGATAAGGTTTCACTTGGGTAGCAGAAGGGAGACATCTCAGGAATAAGAAGGTACCACACAAAATCAAGGGAAATGTACAGTTGCTATTGCAGGTTTCTCTGCTCTGCGGTAAAGCCAAGAAATTCAGAGGGAAGCAATAGTTAAACCCAGGGGCTGGAATTTTTAAACACCTTTCCTTCTCTTTCACTGCTGTGTACAAGCCAGCTAAGCATAGCAGTGCTCGGATCCAGCTTCAAGTCTAAATTTCCATTTGGCCATTACAGCACAAAAAACGCACTCTAGCAAAAGTCAAGAGGCTCCGTTAAGTCAAGCCAGGGAGATTTGCCAGATTTTCCCATTTCCTGCCTTTCATCAGATCTAAACCACACAGCAACCCCCACACACTCCAGCGTCTGGTTTGCGTCCAGTCGGGGCGGCTCGGCATCACCTCTGGCTGTTTCCTTAAAAAATAATCAAGGTACCATTTCATGTGAATATTTTCATTAATCAGCTACTGTGGAAAGGTATGGAAGGGATACTCTGCCTCAGCAAAGTCGCTGCTATCACTGCTGTTTCCATATAATTTTGTGATACAATTAAAAGCGGCTTAATAGGAAACAAGATTTTAAGAATAATTTGTGGAGCCCCAGATTTGGCCCTAGAGTTAGTTATTCTAAGGCAGTTCAGGACTTAACCAAATTTTGTCTTTTGGGATATTGATTGTGCGCTTCAAAGGAGGACAAACCCAATGTCCAGTGGGAGCATGAACATTACAAAGGGGAAAAAGCCAGGCACAGGCTTCCTCCTCCTTCCCACTTTAGATCCATCCATTTCAGGAGATGGGACATGGCAGGAGAGCATCAGATGTCTTGGCTTTTAATAAAATAAATAAATCAGGACTTGTAATAACAGTGTCAAAGACCGAACAGGTGAGATGTATGATCAGTTGGAGCCCAGAGATCACTCCCACCCCCCCAGCTCACACCTCGTACAGCCAAGAGCCAGGACTGGGTCAGGAAGCTGGTTTATCCTACCCTCCCTCCTGCCCCATCCCAGGCAAGCAAGTACTGCTGGTGAGTGGCTGCCCTAGTCAGAAAAGAAAAGGATGAAAACAACACAGGTAGGCTGTCTACTCAGTAGTGATGTCCCCAAGCCAGGACAACTTTGCACCATTAAAACTTGACCATCTCCAGGCACGGGGCTTCTGCCACCTCCCTGGGCAAACTGTACTAAATTCAAGATCTTGTCTCTGAGATATTCAGCTTTTTCCCCCTCATTAAAAGCAGATGATTAACAGCTTTAATTACAATTTTCTTTACATTAGGATATGTTGTTTCATGGGAACAATACCCAGTGTCCTAGGAGTGTCTTTCCACTTCTGTGATCAGGTTTCCATGACTTCTTCACATAGGTCTCACTTACTCAACTTTATTTTATCATCTTCCAGCTCACTATAATTAAAAATAATTCCCCATAGCAAAAATTTAATATCAGAATGTACATTTCAAAGTGAGATGAAAATGAAAAAAAAACCTTTTCCCCTGCTGCACTCAGAGCAGAGCAGCACAAAGAAGACAACGCACGTGTCAGCACTCACCTGTGCCTGCAGTGACCACAGTGACAATGTGGGTGCCACAGAGGCGAGCTGGTGGGTGTTGGAGAGGAGCAGGGCCATGGCTGGCAGCCTGCCTGGCTGCTCCTGCCAGCAGCAGCTCCTTAGTGCAGCACAGCCTGCAGATGCCCAGCCCATCCGTGTGTCACACACCTCACCCTGGACAAGGAGCTGCAGCCCACGTGCGGTGGCACCTCCTCCAAAGGGAAACCCCTGAGCTTGGCTCTGGCCAAGCCCCACCACCACCAAAGCCTCAGCAACAACAACTTGAGAAGAGTGCAGGCAGCCAGGTTTTATTTGCAAGAATAAATTAACACCAATCACTGTCTGGAAATCCCATCTTCATTCACGAGCCTTTCCATCTTGCTCCCATCCCAGGTCTGCAAGCTTGTCTCAAGGAAGAATCAGAGATATCACCAGCACAACGAAGCAAGGACGGCTGACAGCACGACTGGCTCTGAGCACAGAGGGTGAATAAAGGAGCTTTTAAGCAGCTGTAGCTGTGGACAGGGAGGAAAGTCAAGCAGGAGCCAGCCGGCAGGCAGGCTGCTGCAGGAGGCACGGGCTGGGGAGCATCGGCAGGGCTGCTCTGCACAGAGCTGTCCTGTACTGGGGCCAGGACGGCGGGAAGCAAATGGGGAGAAAAAGAACATTTCCTGGTGTCAGATTTAGCTGGAAAGGAGCCTGCCTTGAATTGACTTCACATGGTACAAAGCAGCAACGTCTCAGAAACAGACTGAAAAATTTCTTCTCCTCATGGCCAGCGAAGTTACAAGATGGATGTGTTTTATTTTGCACTGGCTGCTTTTACGTGGTGCTCCTGGCACAGTGGGCAAGTCCTCTCCTCAGAGGAGACACTAAGCCCACTTCCAGTCACATCCCTACCCACACACTGGTGCAGGAGGAAGGTGCAAAGAGATCCACCGCCCCATGCCAGCCCTTTTCTCTCTACAGATGAAAACAGGTACACAAGGGGAATCTGAAGCAAAGAGGAACCCAACACACCAAGCAGAGAACATGGCTTCAAAGTACCTCTTTTTTGGGATGTTGAAGTACACTCCCAGCTTTGGTCCACCTACGCGGACCTTGACAGGAAGCCGGCTGACCTGTGAGGTCTCTGGGAAGAGGCAGTCCCTTGTTGTACAACCCCGTGAGCAAAGCACAGCCTCTGCCATCTCTGGAGCCTCCCGCAGCCCTTTCATCTCAGCAATGGCACCAACAAAAAGCTAAACCATGCTGAAAACACTAGTGCTGTGCAAGAGGCTCTGGAGAGAGCTGTGAGCGTGACCCCAGCTTTCTGAAGAGAGATGAGGTCTCCCTGCTGTGAAAAACCAGCAGACTCCAGTTTGAGAAAGCATGAGCAGAGCTGAAAAGTCAGGGAAGAGAGATGGAGGGCAGCCGGTCACCAAGGCAAAGGGAGTCCTTGCCAATAGTGTGTAGCTCTAGCAAAGGAGCCAGGTAAGCTGGCCTCTCCCAGGGAACAGCCTGCATGTCTGGCTTTTGGGATGGGACTCCCTAGGATGCTGAAGGCAGCACACCCCTGCCTGCAGGAAAAGCTCCTGGCCACAGGGCTCTTCTCCTCCTGTTCAGTGAGTGGGCATGCAGAACATAACACAGCAAAAAGCACCAAGGCAAAGCCTGCCCAGGTTGAGATCCACAAATATTCTGAGAAAAGGCAGAGCTCAACACCTCCCAGCAACAGCAGGAGTGAAGGCAGTTTAAAATTGTGGCAGAAATGGTAAAATTCCTCTCGGACAAAGAAGGAACTCGGTAAACAGCCCTTATCACCCACCAGCGGGTGCTTATCTCTGCTTCTCACTTGTTTCTTCTGGGATGGAAATAAATGGGCTGTATCAGGGAGCAGCTCCCTCTCCAGACAAAGCGAGGAGCCGGAATGCCATGGCCCTGCACGGCCATGTGATGCCTCTGCTGTGCTCCCTAATACAGGATTTGCATGCATTTGTGCACACATTAACATGCAAGATTTGGAATCCC